TTTAAGTTTTTTTTTTTTTCGTTAGTATCTTTTTCCCCCTTATAACAATATTATAAATTTGTAATGTGAGTTTTTGGTTGATGAAAGTGGTAGTAATGAGTCACTTGCACAGTTGCAGTAATACTTTCATGAAAATGCTAAGGTTTTCTGTAACCGGTCGCATTTTTCACCATTAGATACACTTGTAGGTTATGTTGTGTGGATAATCAACGGTATCCAGCACTGACGAAACCATTCCATCAACCTTCCCTTACTCTTCAATATAGAGTTTAGAAAGAAACACGATAATGACTGTTGTGAAAGTAAATTTACTATTATTTTATTCCATATCTTAAGTATATTGATTTTTATAAATTAAAGGCTATATTTTAATTAACCGAGTTGTTTTCTTTTCACCATTAGAATAGAGTTGTGGACAATATCTATCTAAGACTATAAAAGGTGCACGGACAAATTTTTATGCCAATAGGTTTTAGTAAGAGAAAATGGTCAGTTTAAAATTTCCTGCCGATATTTTTTAGTAAGAAAAAATATTAATTCAACAAACATTGAGAGATTGAAACATAGAAATACTCACCTACCAACGGTGGACATATGTTAATGTGCCTACCGCGTAGGTGATATCCACTTATTGGTGATGTTAATATATTTAAAAAAATACATTACCAATGAATGCATGTTACCTACGCGGTGTCATATTAACATGTGCCCCGTGGGTAGGTGAACATTTCTTGATTGAAACAAACCTTTTAGATAAATCTAACTTTATGTTGTATCCAAAACAAAATATTGTACTACCTCCTATTTTTAATATATATCGTTTTGAGAAGTTGCACGTTAATTAAGAATATTTTTTTTTGTCAATAATGAAGATAGAGATGATGTTTTGAGAAAAAGTAAAGAGTGAATATAAAAAAACGTAATGTATTTATTAGTTAAATGAGAGTAATAATGGAAAAATATATAGAAAAAATTCAAAACGACATTTATTTGACAAATAGTTGATAAATCTAGAATGACATTTAAAAAAATTGGAGGAAGTATGAGATATTCTTGGAGTCCTACCTCTTAAACAATTCAAATTCGTTTTTGCAGCATTTTCTTTAATTAGTTATAATTACAATTAAATATTAAAAATATAACGAGGTAGGGGGGCGGTTGTATATATAGATTATTCCGGTTATAATACAATTTGGTGAGTTAGGGTGAGTTATTTTAAATAAAATAGATTTGAAATTAAATAATCAATGAAATGTAATGATTAAAGTTGAGACGGTGTAAAAGTACTATAGAAATTATAGGAAGTGATTTTTAGTTAAAATTGACATGTAGTTAAAATTATTTAAGTAAATGAATAGTGAATAATAATTATGAAACAACAAGGGTAACTAACTACAAGAATATTTTTTCTCGCTCGCTGCTCCCTTTCCCAAATCCCGAAACCCTAGCCTTTCAAACCCTTCAATTTCGCCGGTCATTTCTCCCTCGCCGGACGTCTGGGTCTGTCGGAGGACGGCCTCCGTCGCTCGTCCATGGAGGGGCAGCTCTCATCTCTGTTGCTGAAGCCTGGTTCTGGCTCGTGCGTCGGACATCGGAATCGCTCCCTTGGAAGACGCCGACGCCCAGGTGCTTTCGGTGACGGTTGGGACGCGGGCTTGGCTCATGGACGAGGCTGGGTTAGCTGCAATTGGTTTTGGTTGGGTCGTCATCTGCTCACCTTGTGTCCTCTTCTTGCCGTCGGTCATGACCGAGCCTTTTCGCCGGCGAAGCGGCGAATGGCTGGGGCATCTTCCGGTTCTATTGGAGGTTTGCCCTTTATTTTGCTGCTTTTGTCTCGGTTTTTGATATTGTCCGTGATTGGCGGGACCTTTCGGTTCCTTCCTTGGCGAGATTGGATTGGAGGTTCTCGATTGGGGGTAGTAGTTACCGTTGGGATCAGTGTTCTGCTTCCGGTGTGTGCTCGACTGCTCGATTGTGTTCCCCCTCTTAGGGCTGGGGTGATTGGTCGCGGGTTCAGGCGGGCTAATTCGGTGAAGCCGAGCCGTGTGGGTCTCTTCACGTGATGGGAGTGCGGGGACTGCTCTTCGGTTGGTCCTGGGGTGTGGGTTCCTGTCTTGCTAGGCCTTATGCAGTGGCGGGCGGTTGCTTCCGTGCTCTGGGGCTGTCTTTGGAGTTGTTTAGTCTTCCGTAGATCTAGATGTTTCTGGCGGGGGAGGCTCTGTCCCCCTTTTGTCTTGTTTTTTTTTGGTTGATTTGTTTTTCTGTTATTTGTGTTTGTAGAATTGTGTTTCTGGTCTGGGTCGTTGGCCCCTGTGAACTTGAGTGTCAACCTTATTATCTCTTTGAGATCTGACACTCGGGTATTACCCTGTTGGGGTCTTTTTAGTTTTTCGTTGTTTTAGTTGGTTTGGTTGATCGTTTAGTTGGTCTGTTTAGTTTTGAGTTTTATTCTATCTTTGCTAGCGGGACTCTAGGCGGTCTTAGGACATGTCCTCCCACTTTATTCTCCCGTTGGGAGCTTTGTATCTTTGTTTCACACATTTGTGCGCTTTTGATTTATAATAGCTGTCGTTTTAGAAAAAAAAAATGAATAGTGAATTAAATTTAATTTGATGCGGGAGAATGATTGAGTAATATTATTTAATTATATTTCTAAAAAGCAAGAAATTTAAGTTGAGGTTAATTTTTAATTAGGTGATTGGATATGAAATGACTAAATCGGCTATAAACGATTGAGATGGATTATAATTCATATCCAGTCACGCCCTTAGTTCTTCCAATTTTTTACATAATCACTCTTCATTTTAGAATAATATGTAAAATTTACTAATAGTAAAAAAAAAGATAGGATTTACTTGAAATAGCGTGTAATACCTGCCTAAAAATTTAAATTTTACCATTGTTGGTAAATGTATATATTTTTTTAACGGAGCGATAGGAAATACTTATGTTCACAATAAGCCGAGACAAGAAACCAACTATTCAATTGAATATACGGTCAATAGTCGAATAAGCTGAGTAGCTGACTCTAGAGAACCAAGTATAAAATATTTTTGAAGTTTCTGTTTCACGGTGATAAGGTCTAAACAAAATGACTGATATCTTTAACAATAAAGTATAAATTTTTCCCTCAATGTATGGCCGATCAAATAAAGTTAAAAATTTCCATCAGTCGTATCCATTTAAACTATTATTGAATTATATTTTTTAAACCATCAAAATACGTATATTTATATAAGTCAGAAAAGCCTCTATG